CTATTCATGCTGGGTCTGAACTGGTCAAAAGAACACAGGAGCAGGCTTTCCTTCGCTTGTGACTGTTCTTGCTTTAGTACTACAGTGGTCAAGAAATACATCTAGGAAAAATCTTGTAACCTTTAGCTTTTTGCTATTCCATCTGCTAATTCCACAAGCATACTGCCATTTGGAGAAGTCACACACAATGTGCAAACCAAATATTCCAAGATGATCAGCACTAATCTCCGCAGAACTCCAGAATTAGCAGCAAGTCTGAGAAAAGGCCGACCCTGCTTGAGGTAACGATATTAAATATTGGCATGCACAAACTTTTCCTTTCCCTTAATTTGTAAAGTAAGAAAAAGCAGCTTGTCTAATAAATCAACTTCTACACACTAACCAAAACGTCTCTTATAAAAAAAAAAAAACTCTCAAAAACTTTTCCATGTGCCTTATCTTGCACTCTAGATCTTACTTATCTGTTTCTTTGTAGAGCAAGCTTCTCCAATCCCTGGTTTTCCCGTCACATCTCAATAAAATGATTTTTAAACCTGGGTTTCTTTTCTATTATTGACCATTAGCTGCTACAGCTATAGTCACATGTAAGAAACATCCCTAAACATCATGAAAACAACTGTGTGTAAATTTAACCCCTAGAAGATTCAAATCCTGTGTGATGGAGACAAGTTCTTGTCTGTTTATCCTGAAGGGATCTGACAACCTGAGCTACCATATTTGGTCTCATTCACTTTCAAAAGACGAGTCATGTTACTCAAATGCCAATAAATATTTCCAAGCAACAGTTATTTAAAAACAAAACAAAACAAAACAAAATAAAAAACAAAGCCAACTCACATCTCCTCCTCCCATTGTCTGAAAAAAAAAAAAGTAAAAAAGGGGGATCATGGGAGGGGCTGCTACTGTTCTTTACTGTGGCACCTGCAGGCAGCAGACCCCTTAAAAAGTCCTCACTTTCAAATCATTTCTAAATCTTCTACTGTGTGCTTGGCCTTGAGGTGCACCCACTGGCTCCCTGCTGAAATGAGAAGAACTTACCTCAGCACAGTTCAGAGTTCCCACCTCTCCCAAGAAAGGCATATGAAAAAAAATTTTCTCTAATGCCCAAACCTCTGAAACTAGAGGATTATTAACTACCACAGCAGGACCACTTAGCACACAGAACTAGAATCTGTAATCACAAGCCTAATGACTAAACGTAGAAATGTAAATGTTAGCATACAAATGTTTGTCACTGATCAGGCCATATGGACACGGCTCTTCTGATAATTCAAAGCTCACTGAGATAACCCCTTTCTATAAGCAGCCATTCACAAATGCCCTGCTTTTTAAACTCTCCTAGGAAATTAACAATAGCTTTATGCTACTATCTGTTCTTCCCCATTAAGTAAAAAGATGGAGTGGTAGAGACGGGGGGTATAAGAAAGCACAATGGCACAGGAGTTAGATTTGACTTGCAGGTCCTGCACTAGTCAGGCAAGGTGAGTGCATCATGGGCAAAGGAGTCAGAGAAGAGGATTTCTTTTTATTTCCAAGATTGTTTTGTTTCACTTGCCCAAAGGATAGCTGAGCTCCTAACCCAAGCCCTATGCAATCACAGTTATCATAGATAGCCATTCAGCATGTGAATTTCCCCCCAAATTGCCCCCATGTGTGCTCATTTCCTTATATGCCAGGTGTCTTTTTAAACCCCATACTCAGGAGGCCGCTCTCATTTCCCTTCTGTCCAAGACAACTCTATCCATTCATGTACTCTACTCTTAACCCATAAGGCAGGGAGGGACTAAAAATCTCAAATGTTCTGTTTTGTACCTGGATTCAAAAGCAGCATCTGCTGTGTTTGTAAAACCATCTGTTGCCCACTTTACTGTGGGAAGGAGGATGCAGGCATCAGATGTGGAGTGTCACAGGTCACACAATGGAATGATCTCCTTCTTCGGGCCAGAGATCTGATCCACTGCCTCCATGGCTGACGCTACTCTTCTCCAGTCAAGGGTTTATTTATTTCCTCCTGGAGAATAGTACTGCTAAACTCCAAACTCTCACAAAGGGTCAGGTCCAGGATTGCGTTTTTTTGTCTGTTTGTTTGTTTATTACAGTTGCTTGAATTTCAATTTCTAAATTCTCTAATTCTGGGTTATACCTAGAACTACATCTGCCACAAACTCACTTGAGACCTTATGAGTCACTAATCTCCGGACATGTCTGTTTTCACATCTATAAAATAAGAAGGTTGAACTTGGTGATCTCTGAGGCTCCCTTGTGCCCTAACACTCCCAAATTCTGTGATTTTTAAATGAACTCCAAGTTGCCCGTGAACACAAGTTCCTTCACATCTTTGGCATACTGAGGCTCTTAATGCCAAGGGTGAAAGCATCTGGTGCTGACGAAAAGGCTCCTATGACATGGTCTCTTTGTGTTTAACTAGAACACAGTTGGTTTCTTGAAGAGCCAAAGTAGACTAAGATCCTTAATCTTATTAACATATGCCCATGAGGTAATGAGCTAGTATTTTAGAGTATTATTCTAGAGCAGTTTTCTAGATTTGGGAGCTGAAGAATTCTTTGGGTGTGTTCTGTGTATTGTAGCATATTACACAGCAGCTGAGGCCTCTCCCCACCAGATGCAGCCCAGCTGGCAAGAGGGGATGTTCCCTACCTCCAGCTGAACAGCCAAAAAAAGTTTCCATACATTGGCCAATTTCCCCAGCCTGGGGTCGGGCGTGCAAAATCTCCCCTCATCCTCAATAGAGAACCATGGCTGTAATGGGTATCGGGGCTTGAAAATAAGGTACATCACTCAAAAGTTGTTTTTGTTTCACATGGGTGATACTCACATTCTTAATAAGTAAAGCACTCCAAGACCTAACAGTGAGATTTTTAAAGCACATGTATTCCACTTGAAAGAAGTACAAAGCTCCGCCTTTACAAATCATTCATAGCAGGCCTCCCTGCGAAGGGTTGAGAACTAGCACACAAATTCATAACCTCATCTGCTCTTCTCACAGGATCTTCCCCAGTATGCTCCAGAATCAACTCTTGGCTTGCAGACTTCAAAACAGCACTTTGAAGAGAAGAAGGAAAACCAGTGGTTTGCTTTGATCAGTTTGGCTTTTTCTTCCCTCTCTTGTGCAAAAGCCAGTAAATAAGATGTTTCTGAAAAGGTTGCTAATGAGTTCTGGCTTTGGTCTAGATTCTTGAAGATAGGGGTTAGCAAACTCTTAGCTCCATTTCCCAAGTATCTTTCCTCCACCACTTCAGAGACACCCCCTATTGGTCAGTCCTCAGCCCAAAGAACAGCAGCTACCAGCTGTGCAAGACAGACTGAAGGCTGCAAACTGCAATGATTACTCCTCTTAACCAAACATCTCATTTTCCCACTGGTGAGAGAGGCTGAGATTTGCAAACCTCTGGGTCTCAGAAGGTGAAGGCTACACTAGTCAACTCTCCCTGGCTTTTAAAGGAAACACCCATTTTAAACGTTTTCAGGACTTTTACAGAGTTTCTTAAGCGTTTGTACTTCAGAATGTCTGTACATTAAAAACGTAAGGTGAAAAAGAAACACTTTTGAAGGACTAAGTGCAGGGTATGAAAAGGGAATTGTGAATAGACACAACTGTTACTTTTCAAAGAACTCAGCTGTTTATTCAAACAAATATTTACACAATTGAGGGTAATGGTACCAGGGATATAGCCATTCTCTTAAAATAGTGGGCAAGTCTAGAGGTTTATTTATCCCAAATCCAGCTACTCTGTTGCTATCCTACCAGGAAGCAAGAATTCAAGTGTACTCAGGGCAAAAGTTTAACCCTCTGAAACTGAACTTCGTTTGGAGCTCTCCCAGCTGAACTCAGATAATGTCAGAATCTCAGGGACGGATCTCAAACGCCTCAATTAAGCCAAACTAGGATGCTTCAAGTTACACTCCAATACTTGAAAGTATCTGCAACGTACACATTTCTAGAATGAAGGGAAATATGGCTGACAAAAAACTTATACTGAAAGGAATCCACATTTGTGCACCTCCTCTCCGAGTTCCACTGCCAGGCGCGTTTGGCAGTGACTAGTCTTGCATTCTAGAACTCTTGGGAGCTACTTCAGAGCTGCACAAGGAAGACTTCTAGGGATCAGGGCAGGGCCAGCCAAGAGTATTTCCAGCCCCCCGCAAGTCTACCAACTTAAAAGGCTGCAGGCAGAGTTCCTTCTTTTACATAAGAAAGGCAGATGCGCAGGCTTTGGAAGCCGGCTGGACTTCAGAAGCTCTAGCAAACAGGACACTTCTACTCTGGAAGGGACAGCCTGTCAGCCTTTTAATTTCCTGGCGGTGGCGGGAGTTAGCCAGGTCCTCGGCGCTTCAATAAGTGATGACTGCTAGTGCTAAGTTACTGAAAGCACCAGCAAACATTTCAGCTGCGCCTCAGCCCTGCCGGACGAGGGCTGAAATGGGGGTTCAGAAAATTCCCCAACGCCTGCAGCCTCTATCTCTTGGGGTACTGAGACCGCCATATCACAAACTTTGGGGGATCCAAAGCCAAGTCGGAATCTGAGGTTCTGCGCGGTTCAAACTTGGGAGCCGCACTCTTGAAACAGTGGAATCACAGAAGGGCAGCTAGCCAGATATTTGGGGCTAGGAAAAGGGTCGTCTCCGAATCCCGCGCCCCATATCATCCAGCAGCAGACCTTCTCTTTTCTCCGCTCATCGCGACAAAGCAGCTTTCCACCGCAGATCCCAATCCCTCTCTCGTTGGTCGTTCCAGAGTTCTGGGCAAAAGTTGCCTCCGGTCCCCCCAGATCCCGCCTGTTCCTTACAATCGCTTTGTGAGAGTTTCCCCTACCCCGACACTCCCTCCCCAGGATGCTCGCCAGTAGGGTCCAGTCACCTCCTGGGGTTGAGGCCCCGCAAAGCTGCTCGGCCAGGTTTCCGCTAACCCCAGCCCAGGCTTTTGTCCCTGGAGCCTGTAAGAGAAGCAAAGCAACTCCGCGTCCTCGGCACGCACTCACCGTCTCATCTTTCCTCGAGCTGCGGCTCTCCACCGGCCCCGTCGCCCTCTCGCCTGGCCCTGGCCCCTGCCCTCCCTCCGGCCTCCGACCCCGGATCTCCGGCCCCGTGCCGGGCCCCGACGCAGCCCCAGCCGCAGCCGTCCGGCCACTCCGGACTCGCCGTGCGCAGTCAGCGCGCCCCTCCTGGGCCCGGGCGGCCACTGCCTCCTCTCCGCCCCCAACCCTTCGCCGCGCAACCGGCGGCGACCAACTCGGCGCGGGGGAGGCAGCGCCCCCGGGGAGCGGCCCCGACGCCCGGAGCCGGCGCGCCCCACCCCTCCCGGCCCGCCGCCGCCCCCTTCTCACCTGGTGCGTCGGCACTGCCTGGTCCCCGCGGCCAGGGCGGGAAGGCGCGCTCGGTGCGCCCCGGCTCCCTGTGAGGTCCCCCTCCCGCCGCGGTGGTGAGCTCCGCGCTCCTCGGTACTGTGCCCCGGCCCCTGCGCACAGACCGCGCCGGGCACCCAGCGAAATGGGGCAGTAAGTCAGAGAGCCGCCCAGCTCACGGGCGGTTTACAGTTGGGGCTCTTACTACCGCTGGAGGAGCCCGGCTGTTCGCCCCATCACCCCGTGCCAGTTCGCAAAGCCGCCTTTACAGCAGCGCACTGGAGACGTTTGTGGCAGGCTTTCCTTTTCCTTTCCGCCCCCCTTCCCTTCGCTTCGCTTCCTTTCCTTTCCTTTTCTTTTTTCTTTTCGTTCCTTTCTTCTTTCTTTCTTTTTCTTTTTCTTTTTTCTTTTTTCTTTCTTTTTTTTACGGTCTGGAAGAAGGGCGGGAGGGTACACGTCCTCCGGTGATGATTTCCTCACCCGCTGTGGAGTTTCTACTGGGAAACTCCCAAGTGGCCACGCCTCACCTGCTCCCGACAGCTCGCCTGGGGGCAGGTACCTGACGCGTCAGAAAAGCAGCTTTGTAAAATCTGTAGGGCACGGCCTCAGCTAAGGGCTGAGGATTCGGAACTAACTCATTCTGACTTCCCTTCGGTCCTTTTCAAAGTTTCTCTGTTTTCCAAAGTTGTTTTTTTTGTTTGTTTGTTTGTTTTTTGTTTTGTTTTTTTTTTTTCCTGAGTTGCTGCAACCAGTGAAAAGAAAGCTGGTGTGAACGTCCTCCAAAGGATGCTTCCGAGGAAGGCAAGGAAGCGGACCCAGGGCAGTCCGCAGTGCATCTGGGCAAGCGGGAATGTGAGCCTCTGCCAAGTTCTGAGCCCGTCTCTGGGGTTACGAAGATGAAGGCCCTCAGCCTTCAAGGAAGCCGCAGCAGCAGGGACGAGAGTACCATGAACTGTGGACTTTTTAACATATGCTTAGTATGGCTTTGGGGAAGCTGCTTTAGCTCCCAGTGACATTTTCTTCATCTACAAGTGTAGTAATAATGATACTGATGTTGGAAGTCGGTTAATAAGCTTTTGGATAATGTAGGCAAGGGATCTGTCACCATAAGTGGTCCTAGTAGTCAGTCATTCAACAAATGGCTTATTTCACGGAATGTTCATTCATGCAGGTGAAAGCCTGGTTTCTAATTTCAGGGAGAAGCTCATCTATGAACTGCTTGCTGTTTTATAGGCCTTTTTTTTTTTTTTTCTTTCCTCTGCTGGCTCTTTGCCGCACAGAAACATACATGGGTCAATCCAACCATTAAGTGCTCCAGCAGATCTCTCTTCTCTCACATCATCAATTTTCTCCCTTTATTGGCTCATCTCCTTCAACATAAAATCATGTTATGTGTCCCATCTTAAAAACAAAAAGCTCCTTCTTGAATCCACTTCCCCCACCAGCCACTTGTCTTTTTTTTTTCAGCTCAGCTATAGCAAAATGCCTTTTAAAAAGTGTTGATAAAACTGTCTCCAGGTTCTGGCCTTTCATTACTCCAGTCAGGCTTTTGCTTTGCCCATGTCACCCGTACTCTTCTTATGGAGATCAAACTCCTGAGTCAAAAGTTCTCTCAGCCTTTACCCCACTTGAGCTATCAGCAGTAAGGAACAGCTGATCATGTTCTCCTCCTGGAAATGAGTTTGACATTCACAACATCTTATTTTCATGGTTTTGTTCCTCACCTTTGCTCCTTGTCAGTCTCCCTTGCTGGTCCCTTCTCTTCTCCCAGCCTCTGAGCAGTGGAGTGAGTTCCCGGGGTTCAGACTTTGGTTCCCTTGTCTATCCACACTCACTCCCTTGGTGAGTTCATCCTGTTTCGTGGCACTAATTACCACGTGTTTGGTAATGACTCCCAAATCTTACCTCCGGCTGGGCCATCTCCCCTGAACTTCAGGCTTCAGGCAAGGCCCACTTGGATGCCTACGGGGCTCCTCCCACTTAACATTCCCAAACTTGAAATCCTGAAATTCCTCCCTCCATCTCCCAACCACCCTGTCCCAACTGAAGTCTGACTCATATCAGGCCTAAAACCTTGGTGTTATCCTTGACCTTTCTATTATTCTTGCATTTCAAATCCAATCCATCAGGAAATCCTTTTAGCTCTACTTACACAATGAGTCCAAAATTCAACTACTTACCACCTCCACTCTTACCACCATCCAGTCCAATCTACCATCATGTTTTCACTTTGATTACCCTCGCCCTGTTTCTACTTTTGCCCCCCTGTGGGCTCTCAACACAGCATCCAGAACAATTCCTTTAAACATTATGGCAACTCGTATCACCCCTATCCTCGAAACCCTCAGTGACAACAAAAGCTAGAGTTCCTAGAATGACCCAGAAGGACAACACATGATCTGCCCTTCTCTTACTTCAGCTCCTACTTCCCCCACCTCACTCACTTAGCTCCTGCCACCAGGGCCTCCTCAGTATTCCTGGACTGGATTCCTAGACAGCTATACTTCCATCTCAGGGCCTTTATGCTGGCCTCTCTGCCTGGATTTGCCCCCTCCCCCAGCCACCGTGCTCCCTCACTCCATCACTTCCTTCAAGACCCTGCTCAAATGTCACCATGTGCCTCAGGCCTACCCTGACTACTCTAATTAAAATTAAACATGTATTCTTCATACCAGTAAGCTTTCTTTATTCTTTTATTGACAGAGTTTTTACCTTTTATAATATTATAAAATGTACTTTTAGAATTATATTTATTGTCTGACTCTACTCACTAGAGTGTAAATTCTGTGCAGGCAGGGATTTCTGTCTGTTCTCTCCAGTGACATATCCCCAGTGCCCCTGAATGATGCCTGGCTTGTAGTATGAATGATGGCTTTGACCCAGAGCACTATGGTTGCAAACATTTTCTTGCCCAGAACGATGCCACTCAACTAGACAGACATTTTAGAGACAAGTTGTTCTCCCCCAAAGGGTCTGAAGAGTATGTCTACCAACACAGCACACCTAGAATGACAGTATTTAACAACATGCGTGTCTGAGAAAAAATAGCTAATGTTCATTCAGAGCAACAATTGCTGTATATACTAAGCGCTCGCCCAAATATATTACAGTGTTATTTTATTCCTCTAACAACCCTGTCAGGTAAGTGCTATTATTACTAACAACCCTCTGAGGTAAGTACTATTATTACTCCCATTTTATGACTGAAAAAAATGAGGCACAGAGGAGTTAATGGTCACTCAGTTAATAAGTTTGGGTGGAATCAGAATTTTCACAGAGGCAGGATGGTGTTAGGGTCTATACTCTTAAATACTCCCCTCTTATCTCTTGTTTGGGTAGGAATGATATGTCAGAGGAAGTTTCTGGATAAAGATTAATTCATAATCACCGGGCAAAAAAAAAGTGATCCTCATTGGCCTCTTCTCACTGCCTTGTTTTATTTGTTGACATTTTAGTCTCTTTTAGTTCAGCCAAGCTCCTTAACGGCAAGAGGGATCATTGTATTCATATTTGTGTGAACCACTCAATACTGCTCGATACTTGATACTCACTTGGATGAGGCTCAAAGACGATTCGTTCAATGTGACTTTTTATAAAGTGACTAAAGCCACCAACGCTTCTCACTCCTGCTGCATTGGTGTGGTTTTCAGTAGCTGGCATAATGCAACAAGGGCCTGGAGATGAAGAGGTCCCGGGAAGCCACAAAGCTTAAACTACATGTTAAATGCAGACCTCAGGCATCTTCAAATGTGGAGAAGGAACTCAAAATGTAACACTTGTTATTATGTAACAAGTATTATTACCAGAATTTCTTCTTAGTTATGATGATATTTAAAGAGAAAAAAAGGGGCGCCTGGGTGGCTCAGTGGGCTAGAGTCTCTGCCTTTGGCTCAGGTCATGATCCCAGAGTTCTGGGATCGAGCCCTGCATCGGGCTCTCTGCTCAGCGGGGAGCCTGCTTCCTCCTCTTTCTCTCTCTGCCTGCCTCTCTGCCTACTTGTGATCTCTCTGTCTGTCAAATAAATAAATAGAATCTTTAAAAAATAAATAAATAAAGAGGAAAAAAAAAGAGCTCTTTCCTTTCACTTTTTCCATTTCCTAGGTTCTTTACAACAAAGTGCCCTCTTTAATCCCAGGCCAGAGCCACACCTCACTCTCTCTCTCTGCCATTTCCTATTGTCCACTAGGATACTGGGTTGTAAACTAACCCCTTCTCCAGGATCTGTAGTGGTTACCATACCCGATCTTACTTTGCTATATCCTCCCCTCACATAGGGAAAGGAGAAATGTTGCACAAAGTTTTATTATAAGTTACTTATGGATCATTCCATTTGGACTTAATTTTGCTATGGTACCCTCTCATTAACAAAGACCAGTTGGACTTGATTAACTCGTGTCCTGAATCTGCACATCTCTTCGTCTCTCTGTAGTGATAGCTTAACACATGTTTGTAGGTATTAACTTGGGCCATCCTCAACCCCAGTCCAATTATTTGTACTGATGTTCTCTTTAATAACATGCCTATATAAAGAACCAAGACATTTTTATTTGCAGAGTGCAGTGGAAAGATCACTGATTTGGGAGTCAGACAGACCTGGGTTTAAACCCTGACTCAGCCCTGTTGGAATGTGTTACTTACTTTTATTGAGAAACAAATTTCTTTCCTGAAAAAATGAGACTAATAACACCCAACCCATATTTTAATGAAGGAATGTGATAA